CAAGCATATCCTCATCAGGCCATCATATCATTGACTAATCAGTACTAACATGCAGTTCATAAAGATCATACACATATAACAGGCACATAAGGCATCCTCCTAGACCCTTAATCCTAATCTAGCATGCAATTCTCATAAACATATCATAACATAACTTGTATGGGTAATTTGGGAGTACTTACTTGAGCTCGTGATTGCATGCACCACACCCTTTTTCTCCTTTCAAAGTTATTTTCTCTTTTAAAAATTCTTTTGTAAAAATGATTTTCTTTTGAAAAATTTTCATACCATGTCCTTAGTTTGAGTTCAGACACACCCGAGAGTGTGCCCGAATCCCTTAAACCAAGGATCTGATACCAACTTGTAACATCACAAAAATACGATCCAAAAATTTCGTTTAAAATCATTGAGTAGAACCATGGTTACCAAATCTTTTCATCAAAACATAATCATTATCTCAAAATATAATAATCAAAGTATCAAAACATCATAGTAAAACATCCCAGGCTAAAAACATTATGGTGTGTGCGATGCAGTCATCCCGAGCTCTTCCCTCCGCTACCGGAAGTACCTGAAACCAAAACTGAAAATCGTAAGCACGAAGCTTAGTGAGTTACCCATACTACCACATACTATACAAATAAATACACATACTGGGCCCCCACTCCTACATTGGAACTTTCCCGACACCAGACACTCTTCGGCATCGGGTCCCGCCCGACATCAGGCCCCGCCTGGCATCGAGCCCCGCTCAGTATACATATATGTTTCTCTTAGGCCCTGCCTATCTCTGGGCCTCGCCCACTATCCACATACAATAACATAAACATACTAGCACATAAAGAAACATACTCTAATGTATACCTGTTCTAAGGCCTCGCGTAACTTGGGCCTCGCCCATGTCCAGCTACGGATAAGCCATGGAACCCCATCCATGCTCCTGCTGTAAGTGAGATACGGGCCCCCGCCCACACTCACTTCTCTCCTACCACGGGCCCCGCCCCTGCTCTGATAATGATGAGATATGGAACCCAGTCCATACTCAACTAGCGATGAGATACGGGACCTCGTCCACACTCACCTCCCTACCAGGCACATACAAGTATCACGTAGACAACATGTATAATCTAACATGCAACATATAAACATTCCTCGGGCTTGCCCCGACATCGGACCCTATTCTGGAACATACTACCATATAAGCATTCCTAGAGCATGCCCCGACATCGGACACTAGTCCGGAAACTACAAATACAGACACATGCAAGAATCACAAAGACCTCTAGCATACTACGCCTGGCCCGACATCGGATCGTAATCCGGAACACATATCATAAAATGCCTAGGGCTAACCCCCGAGTCTTCCTACTATACGTAAACATAATGGGCCGAATTTGTGGTCGTAGACCCATGCACACAGTGAGGAGACTCACCTTGCACTGCTAAAGCCCTGCTGATGCTCTGCTGGGCTGCTAACTGGCAATTCCCCGAACTGCTACTCCTTCGGCTTCCCTAGCTATCAGTACCAAAATAACACTTAGACCAAAATACCCTCAAAAGTCAAACAAGGTCAACCTTGGTCAAAGTCAAAGTCAATGGTCAAAGTTAACGCTCCGAGTTGACTCAACTCGCCGAGTTGCTCCATCAACTCGTCGAGTTCTAAAACTCAGATTCCTGAATGCGCGATCCAACTCGTCGAGTCAACCTCTAACTCGCGACTTATCACATCAACTCGTCGAGTCATTCCTCAGACTCGTCGAGTTCTACCATAACAAAAAACGGGACAACTCACTTCGACTCGTCGAGTTCCTCCCTAGACTAGCCGAGTCCCTCATTCTGTTTGGGCTATCTTAATGGATTAAGCCCCTACACTTCAGATCTAATTCCCATACTTTGTCTACATGCTGGAAATGGCATCTTAAGGGTAAAGTTTCCAACTTTACCCATTAATAGTCCTTCTTAATGGGTTTAGCTCAAACTCTAGCTCCTTGAGACACAAATCCTTGTCCAAAACCCTTATTACTCCAAACCAAAGCAGGAGGACCAAGATCTGGGCCTAGATACCCAGTAAACACGTAAAGCTTCAAACTTTATTTCCATGCATGGCCCTTTTGGGGATTAAAAGGCCATAATATCATCCTTAGGGTTTGCATGGGACTTCAATGGCATAAAGTTTGCACCTTTATGCCTTCACAACATTCAAAGACCTCAGATCTGAAAGTATAACCAACTTGGGACATCCATGACCCATAAGTCAAGCTCCTTGGACCAAAAACCCCATAAAAGTGACCACAATGAGATCTAAGAAACTACAAGGCAAGTTAGAAGCTTGATTACCAGAAAGTGATGAGAATGGAACGAAATCCCTGGATCTATAACCTCATCCTTGAACCTTCAAGCTCCTTCTTCTTCTTCTAGGCTTCAAGAACACACAACTCACTCAATAATGGCTCACACACTCAATGAAGGCTCTAGGTTTTCGTGGATTAGGGTTTTGGGATCTGGAGGCTAAGAATGAGGTTGATGGGAGGAGAATAAGATGCTTAAATAGGGCACCAAGACCCGGATTTAGGGTTTCCCAAACCCAGACCAGCTCGCCGAGTTGGTCCTCCAACTCGTCGAGTAGGTTACTTAACCCGTAACCCAAAATCCGCTCCTACTCGTCGAGTCATCCCCCAGACTCGACGAGTTGCCTTCTTGCCTTGAAGCTTTTCCTTTCCTTTCTTGGTCTTCTGGATTCTGGGTGTTACATCAAGAACACAACTAATTAAAAAAAATTCTTCCTTTTCCTTCCCTTTTTCTTTTCCAGTCAGTTCCTTTCCTTTCCTTAATTTTAAAACTCGAGAACAATGTGTTAGGCAACAACAAAAGCAAATAAGTGTGATGGATAACGGGTTTTCATATTATTCGGTGTGTGTGCACTCCAACTCTTAAGTTCATGAGAACTGTGATACACTATTGTCCGTTCGTTAAGTTCAAGTCGTTCAAAAATATGAGTTTCATGTCTTAGACCTTAAGTTACAGGGTTTACTTGACTTAGCGTTCATTTGTTGTATAAAAACAATAATAAAATTTTTCTAACAAAAATTGGGCGCCATAAAACTCAATATTGACCAAATCCAGATTTTACCCAATGTAAAACCAATAATATTAAAATAATGTACAAGTCCAAAAAGTAGTAAAAATATCATTCATGAGTAAAAATGACATTTAACGACTATATTGACAGTTTTATTTACAAACGATAAAATAATTATTATTGTTTATAATAATCAGAAAACTATATCTTAATTTATTTAAACCATTAAAAATGTAGATCATTATGTTTTTTAAACACACAGATATATATATATATATATATATATATATATATATATATATATATATATATATATATATATATATATATATATATATATATACGGGTTGATATAGTTTGTTTTTAACAACTGTTTGTTATATCTATAACATAACCATAATTAATATAAACTTTTTAACTAACGATTTAGAGTTTAGATAAACGTAAAGACGAGTTGTGCATGAATTCTTCCGAAAACCTTAAGAGCTTAAAATGGGTTGTAGAACTCACCCTTGAAGCGTAAGAAGTTGTCGTTGTCAAGATTAGATATTGTTTACGATTTTTTAACCTTTTTAATGGAGAGATTTTAGACAAAGTGGCTTCACAGGGTTGTAGACCGTGTCGATAGGTGTTGGAAAAAGTGATTTTGGGATGATCGGGACTCACTGGAAACTTGTCAGAGCTATGCCGTCGGTAGCAACGCGTGGGTTACGATGTCTACACCGATGACTTTTGGCACGTTGGAAACAACTAGTCGTCGGGAAGAAGTTGTGTCCGACATAAGGTGGCGGTGAAGGAGATGCTCGGTGGTGTGCGGCGGTAGAATGCAGAGAAGATGGATGGTCCGACCCTTTAAAACAGAAGCTGAAAGGGGGGAGGGAAACCGCCAATGAGAGTATGATAAAGAGGTGTTCATTTCAGGGAAAATCTGTTAGATAACTGATTTGTATCCGTAGAAGTGGCATAACATTTATGTACGATCTCTGTTTTCGAAGTTTTTTATATTCACATAATCGTGTTAACATGTTCTATCCAATTAGTGTATCATTTGTTCCTAAGCATACTTAGCACATAAATTTTATTTTTATAGCGTTAATCCATATTTATTATTGTGAATAATATTTTGTTCATTAGCGATCAACATCTGATGGAGACAAGGAGGGTATTTCGCATGCAATTCAAGGTGTAATAACTTCATTTGCATTCAAAAACAATGAATACTATACATTAGGTCCTATTACAAGATGGTTCGTAGTGGTTTGACCAACGAACATTGACCTATTTTTACAATTTGTTACACAGACTGCGTCGTCTTCCTTTTATGAAATGGGCTTTAATGACATTCAATGTTTGTTGTAAACACATGCCATAAATGTGTGTCGTAACCTTATGTTGCGTGTCATCTGTACCCTTTATGACACACAATGTGTGTCATCAAATACTTATTTTCTAGTAGTGTTAAGCATTTAGACGAGAAAAGAAGTTGGTTCCCTAATCAATTTAAGAAGCAACCATTAAATTTGATATCAATTCATGGTTGTTACTTTTAAACCTATAATGCATGCAAAAGTATAATTATTGAAAGCGTGTTCTAGACATATGTATTTATGAAATGATTTGCAAATATGGATTCATATAATGATATATGCTCTTAGAATTTTGAAGTTATATATATACTTAAAATTTCACGCAACACTCATTCAGTCAGTTGAAAGCTTAATATTGGATTATTTTGTGGCACAAGGCATAAAATGTGTTACGTAGTCTAGGTTCAAATCTCACTTTTTTTCAACATTGGAATGAGACGTTGTTCTTACTTAAATAGAAAAAACAAGGAATTTGTTCCTTACCAACAAAGACAACATATATAATCCAATACTAGCATGAATAAGTAAATAACCAAAGAAGAATGAACCATCGCTTAGAAACAAGTCTCCATGAGTCTAACGAATTCTTCAAAATCAATGAATCCATCGCCATTCAAATCGAATCCTTTGATCATATTTCTACATTTCTCCAAGTTTTCGTTTTCTGGTTGTCCAAACTTGCACAACATTCTTTGCAACTCAAACTCGTCGATAAATCCATCTGAGTTCTCATCAAACATATCAAAAGTGACCTTCACTTCACCCATACTTGGTTCCTCCTCATCGAACACCGACAAAATGTCAATACTACCCTCTTCACCGCAGCACTGCTGGAAACCTAGTTGGGTCATCACCATGTTTATCTCTCTAAAGGTCACAAACACTTTCCTGGTGATCTCGTTTTGATCGTGTGGTGTGGCTGTAGTCCTTAACTTGTTCCATGAAATGGACACGTGGGTTAATAGAGATTGGATGGAAGCTCGAAGGGGTTTGAATATAACTTCATAAATGTTCATGTCACAGAAAGCTATTCCGAAGCCTAAAAGGATAGAAGTTGAATTTTTTTTCAAATGTGTTACATCCATTTGTACCGAAGGATCAACTTCAGTTGGTCTTTAAGTCTTTTGACCGAGCAAGAAAGAAGTCGTTATGGCCTGTTTTCGAAGGGTAAGGATGTGGTTTCTAGTATAGAATGGTCAATTGTATGGTCATGGAATGTAAGGCTTTTAGATGTGTATATATAGTGTAAGAATATGGTAACTTTGTTTGTGTTTACAACAATATTTCGACGAAAGATTGTTGGAAGATGTTGGGGACAACCTCACTACGGATTCATTGGTTAACGCGGAAATGTTATTAAGAAAGCAATGCAGGGTGTAGACTTGACGTTGACTGGGAAGTCAACACCATAACCACTATGAATTTTCTATGAAGTGGAGTGAAGTGTGAACACCACATGCCTTTTTCTTGTCAGGACGAAAAAACTGATAATTACATTATAATGTATATTTTAATTAAAAGAAGTGGAGTGAAGTGTGAACACCCTGTTAATCTCAATAAAACGATTCATCTCTTTAAAAGAAAATTGTTGCACAATTTAGTAAAAATATCTACTCACTCTTTATCCAAAAAAATATTATAACTCAAACACTAGCGCAACACATGTTAAATGAAAATAAATATTTTAATCTTTTTTAATAATATAAAACATGCACTTTGTTTAGAAAGTAAGAAAAAAAAACTTATATTTAGATATCATGGTTCTAAATAACATTAAATGTCACTTGTCGGTTATGTCAAGTTTCAAGCTTCTACTAGTCATGACAAACCATGTGATTTGTAAGACGTGGTATAAAGTGTCAATTTTGTATATAATTAATAATTTTAAGTAAATTGTCTATTATTATTCAGTTTTATATAGATATATAACTTAGAATGACATTTTATTAAAACGTGAAATCAAAGAACCATAACAATCATTTTTAAAGCTTGTCAGATATACTTATTTTTATCTTATTATTGGTGTTATACTTATTCAGCTATTGGGCCAAGGAAGTAGTCTTTTTGTGTATGATTGAAGGTTTGTTAGGAATGTTGGATACTTGGATTCAACACGTTAACAACAGGACCCTGACGTCAATCTAAAATTCTGCTTGTATGATAGAACCTTTTATGGGGAAAACACAATACTAGTTCTTATTTAATCAAAGTATTTCTACTATAAATATATGTATGGAAAAAATATAACATCAGGAATATCTTGCAATAGCTAATATTATGAAAATATGATAGTTAGAATGAAATCATGTTGTGAATTTAATGGAATTAAATGGAAATTGGCTATTTTCTATTATCCCTTGTTGGTTGGGGCAAGGAACTCTTATGGGTTTATAATTAAGGCTTCTATTATTTTAAGACCGGCGGATGTGTACCACAATCCAATATACTTTTGGTTTGTTATGTTAGGGCTATATTATTTTCCCTTCATCTTCTCGTCAATGACACAAAACTAATAAGAAATGGTACGGTCTCCACCATATTTTTTTTTATTAATTAAATAAAATGTAATTTAATAAAATGTAATTATATAAAATTAATAAAAAGGAACTATTTCATTCATTATTAATAATATTAATAAAATACATACTAAATTAAAGACATAAATAAGAAAAAAAAAATCGAACATAGTAGAATAGTACATAACGCCTAATCATCATCGTTTAGATCGTCATCATAATCATCACCGGAATCATCTACAAACATGTATGATTTGTCATATGTATCTTCGAACAATTCGTCGTCAAAATCGTTAACAACGGAATTAACTTGAGCAGTGAAGACATGTTTCACCAAATCAACGCAAAGGTTGTGGTGTCTAACTGGCCGCATACTCTCCCGTTGTTCGCCATGTACTCCGGTGTACGAATAACTACTCCTTCAACATTTGGTAAATTATCGTTTTCATTGTAGTCACAAATCACCTTTCCCTCGTCTTCTATAATTATATTATGCAATATGATGCATGTACTCTGGTGTACCAATACCTACTCCTTCAGAGTATGTCCCAATGTCTCTTTAGAGAATCAATAAGGTAATACCCATCCTTGTATGATGTCCTTCAGAGTATTCACTATTCTTCATTTGGACATGAGAATGATTTCACAAATGTAGCTAACTCGAGATATATCCTATCAATAAGGTAATACCCATGCATGTATGATGTCCTATTTTGTTGAAACGACAAATCATACAATTTCACAATGTTGATTTTGTTGAATATCGACGAATAGTTTAGAACGTTAATGTAACACCTATTTTTTTATATCAAGCATTATCGTATTAGAATAAGTAGGAATTAGTGAAAGAAAGTGATAGTTTACTCTGAGACGATTTTGTGCATATCAAGATCGTCAAAATCGGAGTTTGTATGAGAAAGTTATGTTAATTATAAGTTTAGATAAAAGTATGTTACTATTTTGAGAAAGTCAATGGAAGTAAAAGTTTCGAGAAATGTTTCTATTGTTGAAGGACATGTGGCAATTAGGTGGTATACATGGCAATTTCTCGGAAGGGATACCTGGACGCGACACATCCAGGGATGGCGTGCCGCGTCCTAGGATAGACCACAACGTGTTTTCACACGGTGTGTGTGTGTGTGTGTATATATATATATATATATATATATATATATATATATATATATATATATATATATATATATATATATATATATATATAGGGAAAAGTTCAATAGACAACCATTATTAATCAAAGAACCAAGGAACCAATCCAAAGCGTCAGAATTTAAAGCGATCAACGGCAAAATGAAGGGTTGTAAAATTTTATAATGGACGTACATGTACCGGATTATAACAAAACCCACTTTTTTTTTTCATTTAAAATTTTTTTTAGGCCAAGTTTTTTATCGAAAAAAAAAACCGAATATACCGTTGTTCACGATTTTTCGTCCTCTTTCCATAGAGATCCATGATGATATATATAAAACCGAACTTTTTTTCTCGAAAAAAACTCACTTAATTTTCTTAGTTTTTTCAATATTTAAGTTTATTTTTATCAAAAAAAAACTAATTATACCAAAAATATTAATTTTTTGTACTCTATGAATAAACATCAACACCGATTAAAAAAAAAAAAAAAAACTTCGAACAGTGTAGATTCATACTGTGAATCTAAACTGTAAATATTTCAATTTTTAACATTCACAATATGAAAAATCTCGAACAGTTCAGATTCACACTGTGAATCTGAATTACTATTATGAACACTGTGAATCTGAGAATGTTCACAAAAAAAAAAAAAAACCTCGATCAGTGTAGATTCACACTGTGAATCTAAACTGTAAATATTTCAAATTTTAACATTCACAATGTGAAAAAGCTCCGATCAGTTCAGATTCACACTGTGAATCTGAGTTATTATTATGCACACTGTGAATCTGAGGAGGTTCACAATGTGAATCTGAACAGGTTTACAATATGAATCTGAACAGAAATATCGTTTTTTTTTATTTTTTTTATTTTTTATTTTTTATTTTTAACATGAATATGAATCTATGTTTAAAAAGTACAAAAAATATGAATTTTGATATATTTATTAATTTTTTTCTATAAAAAATAAACCTTAACTTTTTTAATCAAAGAAAATGAAGTGAGTTTTTTTCGAAAAAAAAAAGTTCGTTTTTTATATATCATCATGGATCTCTATGGAAAGAGGACGAAAAATCGTGAACAATGGTATATTCGGTTTTTTTTTTTTGATAAAAAACATGGCCTAAAAAAAATTTTAAACGAAAAAAAGTGGTGGGTTTTTTTATAAATGGTGGATTTTTTGGTATAATCCGGTGTGTGTGCGTCCAATGTAAAAGTGTACATCTATTTCCTTGCATGTTGATCGTTGTGATTTCCGACGCTCACGATTGGTTCCTTGGTTCCTTGCTTAATTATGGTTCTCTATTGAACCTCACCCTATATATATATATATATATATATATATATATAATATATATATATATATATATATATTATATATATATATAGAGAGAGAGAGAGAGAGAGAGAGGTAAGTTCATGTAACGTCTGTTTCCTGGTACGCATTTAATTATAATTTATTCATTTTTAAAGAGCTACTCGACGAGTTGGGAGCCCCAGATTCGTTGAGTAGAAACGAGATTGGACGCGGGATTTAAGTCGCCTACTCGACGAGTTTAGAGCCTAGACTCGACGAGTAGGGCTGACAGAATGAAACCCTAATTTCGAGGTTTTGTACCCTATTTAAGCATCTTAATCCCCACTTTATGGCCTCATTTCCAGCCTCCAAGTCCCAAACCGTAATCCACGAAACCCTAGAGCTTTGTGTGAGTTTGTGAGCCATTTTTTGTGTGAACCTTGTGTGATTTGAAGCTTGTAAAAGAAGAAGAACCTAGAGGATTCCAGGAGAAGATTGTAGATCCAGAAACAACATCTCATCCTCTTCATTTTCTGGTAATCAAGCCTCTAACTTGTCTAGTAGTTTCTTGGATCTCCTCATTTTCACTTTATTGGGTTTTTGGGTCCAAGAACCTTGACCCTTGGGATATGGACGTCCCAAGCAAGGATCCCTTCAGATCTGGAATCATTAAGGGTTATTATGGCATAAAGGTGCAAACTTTATGGCATTAGAGCCCCCATGCAAGCTCTAAGGTGTTATTTTGGCCTTATAAGCCCCAAAAGGCCATGCATGGAAGGAAAGTTAGGAGCTTTACGTGTCCAAATGATGTCTAAGGCCTAGATCTATGTTAGTAAGCTTTAGTTTGGAGTATTATGGCTTTTAGACCAAGATCTATGTCCTAGAGAACTAGGGTTTGAGCTAAACCCATGAAGAAGGGCTATTGACGGGTAAAGTTAGAAACTTTACCCTTAAAAGGACATTTACAGGGTGCATGAGGAATAAGAAGCTTAAATCTGAAGAGTAGGGGCTTAAACCTTTAAGAAGGATCATACAGACTTAAGAACTCGTC